AACAAACTTTAAAACCAGGTTCCTGGGTTTACTGTGTGCCTGCCCACCCATCCTTCTGTCTTTTTGCAGCATAACTGTGATCTGTAGTAACTGATACGATAAACAGTGACTTTGAAGTCTACAGTGTTTTTATATTCATTAGGTGAAAGGGAAATTGATTTATTCCCTCTTTGTACTGGAAACATAGTAGGTAGTGCTGATGTAACTCAAATGAGTAGATTGACTGCCACGTAATTGAGCCCATATGGATGTAAGTATTAGCCTAGATACCTCTCAGACACTTGTAACCTGAAAAATCATCTGGAGAATCCTGGGTACAGTTCTTGGTTCTTACTGAAACAGGACTGTAAACTTTCATATTAGTGTGTTACTGTTAACACAGCTCATAGAGTTTCCTTCTTTTATTTGCTTCTGGAGCTACCACCTACAGTGAATTTTTTGTTGTAAAAGAAGTTTGCTTTATATGAGTAGAAGCGATAATATCCAGTGTTTGATTTCAGTTTCTTTTTAACACAGGTAGAAGCTTGTCCCGCTTTCATGTGGTTATCATTGTTTATTTAATGATACGTTTTCTTGATGTAAACCTTAAGGATGAAATCAAAGGCAGTTACACTTGCTGTAATCCACAAAATCACCTTCTAGTTACAAATGCCAGCCTGCAAAAAACCCCCTCACACTTTCTAATCCTCAGCATGGGCTTGTCAACACACACATTCTGTACAATGCGATAAGACATTTTTAGTTAACATGTGCATGCAACCAGAATAGATTGAAGGCATGTACTGAAGTTTTTAAAGACAGTACAGACTTAAACAATCAGGAATTTAAGGCATGTTAGAAACAGGGAGGGAAAGTCATTGTGCTCATTTATTCAGTTTTAAAATGAAACAGAAAATACAACATAGCTTTCTAGTTGACAGTCAGAAATGGATCTTTTGAAATAGTAAGCATACAAAAAAGAATGGTGTTTAGGAATATGAGAAAAACACTCATCTGAAGAATGGGACCAGGTTACTAAAACCACAAAATATATAGTATTTGCATTTGTATAATTAAAGTTCCAGCAGTCAGCTGCTTACTTTGTAGGATCTTCTAAAACTTCATTAGGGTGTTGCTGCTCTGGCTCCTAAGAATCTGGCCTGTAATGTTCTTATCAATGTCTATGTAATTCCCATTGCATGGGATGCAATTTACAGACTTGTAATAGATGACAGCGCTGTCATGCAGTCAGAATTCTGATTTAACTAGCTACATGCATAATACAGCAGAGCTAGATAACCTTGTTGGGATCCTGCAACATGCTCTGCTTTCCATGCAGTATGTTAAGCATTCTCACATCAGTTCACGGGTGTTCTAAAGAGCACTGAGGAAACATACGTGTACTGAAAGTTGGCAATTTGTATTTTGAGTCCTTATTCTTAAAATCAATTCTGATATACACTAGAAACCTTGCAGTTCTGCACTATTTAGCAAGCCTAAGGAAACCTCTGTTAAGTTCTATTACTGCTGCCAGATGAAATGACCAAACAGAAACTAAACAAATAGCAGAAGTCAGGATCGTTTTACATAAACCCCTGGCCATGCTCTGTCCCTTAAAATGCAATTTTAGTTCTTGTTAAGCATACAGATGGAGATCTGTTGCACTTCAGACTCCTAGTAATCATATGCAGGTTGGTAAAATTGCCCTTTTCCACATGCATCTGATACGTAAACTGAGTCATATTAGGCTGTGAGGATGGGAGCTGATGCTTCTGAGCTGCTGGGACAGACAAAGCATTTCATGACAGTTTCCTAAAGAACATTCTGTCCTGTCTCCTGCACTCCCCACACTTTTCTCTCCAGATCAGTCTTCTTCCCTCCCTGCTTTCTCCCCCCTCAAAGTGTGCAGTTAGGCAGTGTTGCCTAACATTGTATTCCCCTGTTGCTGACCCAGCCTAGACATGACATCAGTACTGGGATGGGATATGGCAGCTTCCTCATGGCAGAAGGGAGCATAAACTAGGAGAAACTGAGCTGAAGAGTTCTCAGGGGATGAAAGGGGTGTATTACAAGTTGCATACTTTGAATAAGCAGAATGGAATCCCTTAGAACAGGCAGCTGTGTATTAGATGCTTAGGCTTTTATCACTTAGAAGCAGTTCATTCCAAGTCAGAGAAGCTAAACCAAGTTTAAGAGATAACATGAAAGGCAGGGCAAAAGCAGACCGATCAAGCAAGTCAAATTAACTTAAAAAGGTCCAGCAGGAAGTGACTTGGTCTCAGAAAAATGAGGCCAGCAGCTAATGCAGAATAAAACAAACCGCTTTCATAGACAAAAAGCATATCCAAGGGCTGTTATTTTAGTGCAGCTGATGTGCTTAAGAGCCACATCTTAATCTGTCTTTGACAACTTGCAGCTTTATATCACATGGCTATATGTAGCCTAAAGGCCATCAGTCAAAAATAAAAGGTGCAGAACTAGTATCATTATGTGTTAGGAGTTTTTTGCCCTGCCTTATGGGTTAGCAAACATAGCATTAGGATAGCAGTGTTCTGAAGTCCTGGCTTTTAACCCCTGTGCTTAGGGAGTTTTCAAAAGGCCAATCATACTGCTGTTGGAACTACTTTAAGCCATCTGACCAGCATAATGAGTACCTGGCCTAGTACCCTTCTGTTCTGCAACACTAGAAGAGATGAGATGGTGTTTCTTTTCTGTCTCGTTCACAGACAGCGAGATGGAGTGGTTTATGGTTTCCTCCCTTTGCCCCCTATCTTTGCCAGCTGCCCTTGCTGAGGTTTGTATTTCAGAGATTCAGGTGTTAAATGAAACAGCCTGAAACTTCTGTAAGGTAACACTGATTTTTAAAAAGCAAAAAGTGAACGTTTTGGAAGACAGAGAGAGGCATAATTAGTATTGAAAGTTACATAACTATTGAAAAACCATGTTCCAGGTTGCAGTTCAGTCAGGTAAGAGAAGCTACAACAATCATCAGAGATCCTTTTAATCGTACCAACAATCGTCCACTATACACAATATAGCAAAACATTCAGGGCCAACAGATCATCAGGGATATTGACTCTAGTTAACATGAAAAATTCAGAGTCCCACACCTACCTATACTTCTGAAAAGCAAACAGGCAACTACAGATTCACCTAATGTAGGTAAGATTTAATGCAGGATCATTGATCACTCAGAGATTTTGATGTTAAAAGACCACTGAGTTATGAAGCCTCTGTCTATAGTTCTGTGGCTATTAGAGTGGTATTTGATTTCATCAGCAGAGAAAAAAGTACGACTCCTGTTCCAGCTGAACGGTAGTGAGTGAGCAGTTGGGGTTGCACGGACATCTTTTCTTGTTTTGTCCTTTAGACGTGTGTAATACACAAAATGCTGGAAATAACTTAATTACATTTCATTTAAAAGTTGAAAAGATCCACCTGAAATGTAAGTTTAGCCAAGGCCACAAATTCACATGAGTTTTAGATATATATAATATCTTACCATGCCAAAGCATCTCGAGACTTTTAATAGAAGATCTACAATATCACTGTTAATGAAAACAAGCAAGTCTTTGGTTTGAGAGGCAACAGCCAAAATATTCAGCAACAAAAGCAAGTAGCACAGACAGAATGTCCAGAAATAAGGATGAAACAAGGTCAATAAAGAGTACCTAAGGCACCTTGTTTATAGTCATCTTTGCTACACTCCTTAAGACCCCCAAATAACGTATAAAACTGCAAATGGTAAGGAATGTGAAGATGAAACAGCTGAGGACAAAATAAGTTAACTCTTATTCCTAGTTAAAATTGCCACGATCAGAGGATGTGAATAAATGCATTTTCCTACAATAGTGAAGAGAGGAATCAGAGCTAGGAAAATGGAGGAACCAGTACCATTAAGAGTAAATTCATTTGATATTCATGAATTGCAGTCTTGGCTGGACACCAAGATGTGGATATTTTCTTTAACATCTAGTTCATGTCTCAGTCTCAAGTACTATAGAAGGTGGAAATACCACCCTTTATTCAAAATTAAAACAGGGGAGTGCAGTTTGCACTTGCTTCAGGAATATGCACTGTACAGCAGGCAGTGCAAAACTGTCCTTGCAAAAACAACATGCAAAGGAGAATTTTGAAGAGGGTGGGAATTTACTTTATTCGACAGTAAATCTTTTTTAATTGCTTAGCTGAGATTTCCATCAAATGCAGTCTGTAGGTGACAGGTAATATAAGCTACATCTAAGGACAGACAGGGTAAGTCTTGTTTTGGCCACTCCTCCCTGCAAATCAATACCAGTTAAAAAAAGGGAGGGTAGGGGAAAAAAAACCCATTACTTTGCACTAGATGGTTTGTGAAATTGAGACAGCTGTATTAAGAACAGCTCCCTGTTCTTATGCTAGGAAGAGAGCTTTAATTCTAAGCTCTAGAACATAAGTGGCTCACTACATGTTTGCTGAAGTGGGTGCAAGATGTTGAGTTTCCAAATTTGTGTTCCCTCCCTGCTGCTAGCCAGGGGGAGATTCAGCCCTTTGCCTACTCTTCAAGACAGAAAACATAAAGAAAACCCCTCTATCCATCTCAGTCTCTGGCCTGTCTGAATATCAGTTCATCCACACACACCTCTGACGGTTTCAGAACACCATGAGAGATTGGAAGGAGAAATCACCAGGACATCTGGGTTTCCAGATGTGCACAGCAGAACAGGAAGTTGGGTTAGCTGAACACTTCAGGGGGGATATAAAGACTTCTACATTTTTTCACATAGTTTGGGAATATCAAACTAAACTCTGCAATAGCCAGAAGCCAGGTTACGTTTTAATGCATATTAGTTAAAAACTGTACAACAGCATTTAGTGTTCATGAAGATGATTGTTACCCTTTTGGCATTTTTAGGAAAGCACACCAAGCTTTAGAGTAAGACTCTACTGTCTTTCAGTACCTAGGGTTTGTGCTCACCAAGTACAAAAAAACCACAGACATTTTCCTCACTGTCTGCTTTTACCTTGTGTTCTCCCCTCAGGTATGGCCCATTTCCTGTTCCTTCGGAGCTACCTTTGGCTATGTGGCTGGTCTGATTATTGCACCTCTGTGGATACACTGGAACCGGAAGCAGCTTACATACAAAAGCAGATAACTGGAGCAAAGAGAGACAAGGTATTTCTTTGTGCAGATCCCATACAGACTGTGCAAAAATTGGGGGGGGGTTTATAAGATATATATATTTATGTATAGTCAAAGCAGAAGACTGTCCAAATGCATTTAGAGTATTTCAGGCCAAGCATCTCCACTCGATAAAATCACATGGATGCCGTTTCAGCGTGGTGCAGTTTTTGCTTCCTCTAGACTATGTAACCCTGAGAGATTGTACCTTCCAGTCTGAATAAAATACTTGTAACAGATACGGTGTCTTCTTATTACAAGTTTGTTGAGTCTGATTTTATTCTTCTGGATTTCACTGGTTGTAGAAGGCAGAACAATAGTTTTAGCTTTCAAACCTGTAACAACTTTGCCGTATACTTAATGCATTGTGTTTAAATTCAGTAGAATTTCACAGTAAGCCTGGCCATTGTCAAATGTGTTTCACGTGATCAAACAGCAGTTTATGCATCTTGAACCTATTCTCTTCTTCACTGTGTGTTTCTTTGGAGTTAGAATGGCTATAATAGCTTCATCAAAAACGGTCTTCAGTCCTTTCTGCGTTAAAGCTGAACACTCCACGTAGCAGTAGGCTCCTATCTGTCAAGAAAATAAGTTAATTCAACCACAGTGTATTTCAGCTGTTCAGTTTTAAGTGTGCACTTCTGCGTATCTCTTGTTCTCTAGTGGCATCACAATGTTTGGCTGTGATCTAGAAAAGCTACCTGCATGTGCATCCCCCTGTAGAGAAAAGATTTGTCTTTTGGTCAAAGATCCAGAATGCATTTAAGTTGGGTTTCTTTACAAAGGAAGCGTATTAAATAAGCTCTTTGGCCTGGCACTGGAGTCCTAAGGTGTTTTTGATAACTACACAGCAAAAAAGAATTACAGACTTATGACCATTTTATGGTTCAAAACTAAGACTGTGTCTTTATGTGCATTATCCACACAGTGTGTTAAAATGGTAGTACAGCACTCTCAAATAATTGCTTAAAGATGATTTCAACATTTTGCTAGAGGAGGAGAGGTCCCTTCCAACCTCAACAACACTGTGATTTTAATTCACTCTTCACCAATGCTTGCGTAGTTTTCACAAGCGTCTACAAAGAAACCTAGAACCACTACTACCACGGAAGTGCTATTACACAGGTCTGCTTGTTAGCTGTGTTCAACAGTGTAAGTAAATATTGTTAACTGGTAACCTGTCAGAAGGTTTTCATACATTGAAGTAGTAAAGAAAAAGGCAATTGGTAATAGGTTTTTTTGCTTCTTTGCTACTTGCTTTCAACTAGGAGTTTACCTCTTTAGCTAGTTTCTGTCCTTGCTCCACAGATATGGGCTTCTCTTTCATGTCATTCAGTCTTGCCAGAGTTTTTGGGTCATCACGAAGATCAATCTAGCAAGGAAGATAGCAGTCATGTTAGAATACTTTTCCTAAACAAAAGTCAGCAGGCTATATAATACCCTCTTTCAGAAGCAAAAGCATTTATTTAATGGAGTATTATGTGTATACAAATGGAGTCATGCATGATTCAGATCATGGACTCTTCCTGATCCAAAAAGTCCTGGAAGTTTAAGCTGTGAACTACCACCTTTAATCCAGAAGGAAGAAACGTATATTCTGTAATTCAGCTCTTCAGTTAGATGTGATCATCTTGGAATGCCAGAAGGTACATCCAGCAGTGGCAGAAGGTTTAACCCAAAGATAATACCAACATGTGGATCACTTTGTAATTGACACCCAGTCCACTGGTCACAAGAAGCAGGGGGGAATTGTCTCACTTCTTCCTTTGCTCCTTTGCTTCAGCAAATATTGTATATGACCAACAACTGTAGACCCATGTACATGGGTATACATAGACATATATATATAAATATTCCTTAAATCCTCTGACTTTCTAGAAAGTCCCAAGGAGAGATGGAGCCAATTTTGCCACTCTGTTTACACTGAATGTATTTTAACAAAATGCAGGTAGCCCATTAGAGAACACCACAAATCTAGGGTTTTCTGCCACTTGCTAGGGTCGTTCTTCCAAAGCCAGAAGCCTGTTGGGCCTGAATTTCCAGCTCTAAGAAAAGGCACCATACAATGATCCAAATTGTTTAAATGAAGTATAACAGAACCAGATATACCTGTGTTCCTACTAGTAAAAAGGGAACATTAGGTGCATATTCCTTCAACTCCGGCACCCACTCTTCCTTCACATTTTGAAATGAAGCAGGGTTTACCACTGAGAAGCAGATAAGGAAGACATCGGTCATAGGATAAGATAAAGGTCTCAGACGATCATAGTCTTCCTAGGAAAGAAAAAGTCTGTTATCTGCAATATTAAATGGTATTTTGTTAATTTAAACAGTAAGGTAGAGAAACTCTATTCATATTTCAGAAATGTTGAGGCAAACTTTCTGAATGCTTGCAACTCTTCTAGGTTAATCAGCGTGGTTGTTAAAGGAAAATGACATAAATATATTGAAAAGCGGTGTGAATATTAACTTACTTCTGTACCAGAATATACAGGCTACCCCTTCAAAAGTTTTAAGTCAAAAAAAAGACTTATGGTTCAAGCATATTCAAAGGTTAGTACTTCTTTGACCAAAGAGGAATAAGCAGATGTGACTGCTATAAAGCCATGCAGATAATACAAAGCTAGACTAGATTAAGGCTAATTAATGCAGTTGAGTCTTCTCCTTTGGCTCATACGTACAGGTGGTATTTAAAGCCCTGTTAAGAATTTTCTTTCTGTCCCTTAGAAACTTTGCTGTCCTGCTGCTAGTGACTGGGCAAAGTGAGGATCAGAGGGACTTTTTTGTTATCCAGACTGCTTTCTGTGAGCAACACCAGCAAAAAGTGGGAAGGAACACTATTAGGGAACACTCAGGATCAAGAACACCATCAGGGGAATATTAATGCCCTTTGGTGGGGGGAAGTTAGTGTGAAAAGATTCTTATTTGGGTCATTTAGAGCCGTAACTTCTCAAGGCACCAGTCTTACAGCCAGGGCATACAGTACAATACCTAGGAGCATTGTTCCATTGTAAACCACTTCTCTATAGCAAGAAAGAAAGTGAATTGCCAGTCAACCAATGCTTTACCATTCCTGCCTTTGGCTTTTTTGCTTGGTTGTTTTTTAACACAGATAAGACTGAGCTGGTTTTATGCCATCTCTCCCTCCTCCCCATGTAAGCTCCTCATCCTAATTAAATCTCACAAGTATTGGAACAATTTGTTCATTAAAGGTAGAGACAGAAACAGAATTCAACTCCATGGTTGAATCAAGCCAGAAAATCAGATTTTCCGTTCCTTGGCAACAGTCACATTACCAGGTTATTAACCTATAGTGGCACCCTCAAAACAGCCCTTCATTGATAGGTTTTTAAAGATGGTGTCACTAGCATTTCAGAAGACACATGAAAACTTCCTCAGAACAGTTTCTGCTAGGCCCATCTTTTCATCAGCTATGGCAAGAGGGCTGTCATCCTCATCATGAAATGGAGGAACGACAAGCACTGGAGGAGATTCTGCACTAGCAGGGGGGTGACCATTGGCCAGTACTCTTTTAGTGTCAATCTATATGATACTCATATTTGGAATCAGTATTCTCATGTGCCATTTTGGTTAGACACTCTCCTGCCAGTCTTGTATGCTTTCCAGTTTTGTCAGTAAGCTAGAGCATACTTGGCTGTAGGCATGGGCTCCCAGTTTCACAACCACAGTAACTGACACTACTGGGAAACCACAGCATTTGACTGGCCTATCTGGAGATCAGTTGTTCCCCTGCTAGTGTCAGCCTCCTATCCTGATTCAGAAGAAAAAACCCAGGAACCTTGTCTTTTCCACATCTGTGGACATTCATCATAGATGGCAGAAATAACTTTAAGAGCATCACAACAGCAACGTGAAACTATTCAACATTCAGTTCTCTTTTTAGGCATGTATTTTATGCTTCACTTCTACTCCTGAATATAGTTAGGTACTGATCAGGGTTGCCACTCTGTTTTCTGGGTGGAGACTGAAATCCTAAAAGCAGCTTCCCAACTGCAAATTACACTGGTCCCTGGAGTACAAAATCTGCATGCAGGCACACAGAGGCAGATCCGTCAGCTACTCTTGAATTCAGCTCTGCTAAATCACACACAGGGTATTACTGAATAGGTTTTCTTTAAAGAAAAGATTTAGTTTAAAGTCATAATTCATTCCTGCTACTAAAGAGCTGCCTTTACTACATTCAATGTTTTCTGAAGTCCTCACATCTGGGCTACAGTAACAAGAATACTGTCTGCATTAAATGCTGGAATGGAGAAATCACTTCATTGTCACCAGAAATTACTCTTAGTCCATTGGCCTTAAAGTACCTCTTCAGTTAATCCATTTGAAATTGCAGATGGACCATTTATTCATGGCAAATACTAATCCGTTTCTGATCTCAAAGCTTGGTTTACTTCATTTTACTTTACGTTTGCATGGTTTACTTCAAAACTTTTGTATTTATCTTTTTTAATCCCATTGGATATAAATCCTCGTCCATTTAGCCTGGTCCTGCTCCTTACTTCCCATGTATTCCTCAGCAGTCATCTGGGAGTGAGCACTGTTACTGCTTTTTAAGGCGCGTGCGTTGCTGAACTCCTTTCCTGCCCCTGCAGCTATTTATATATCTGGCTTTTGCTTTACACCCTGTCCCATCTGCACTGGGCAAGCTGTGGGTCTGTCCTCTGTAATTAAGAAGTTCAACTGCAGGCAAGTACAGTGTGATTGGATACATCATGTGCCACGGCCAAAGAAGTATGTGGTATTCACTACGATGACTTCACACTTACTTAAATTAACAGAGAATTTGGCTGTCCCCCACCAATCCTGCTGCTTGAAACAAGCCAGTGCTGCCAGGCTCGCCTTTAAACCTTTGTCTGTGCTATGAAAATTAGGTGCATATTGATGCTAATAATGGCAGGTAATTCTAATAAAGCCTCCCACCACATCATTAGACTGGTCCTGGGTCTTCTTAAGAAAGACCCTGGCTTAACTGTTACCAGCATCTAGCAGGCCATCTGTGCTTAAAGACTCCTCCTGCTTCCCATCAGCCCCTCAGAAACAACAATCAAACCTAAAACTTCCTGTGATGTGCTGGGCCTAAATAACTGCTGCATGGATAGAAGATTGAAAAAACAAATGCATTCAGACCGAATGTTAGAGAAGCCTGGAAATATCAGATTGCTTCAACTGTCTTTTCTGACTCTAGTGTGAGGGAAATGAATGTGGCTAATTCTCAAATGCAGTGGCAAACCCTAATTATACTAGCCAGTCAACAGAAATCCGGGTTTGGGTGCCTGTATGCACCACCCTGTGCAGCAATTAAGACCTCCAGCCTAATTGGGGGAGGCACTGCCTTTATATTTAGGCATTAAAGATATCTAAAGAATTTTACTGGACTATTTTAAGAACGTGAACAAGATGGGCAAGAGGACCACAAAGGATCAAAATGTGCATTACAAGTGTCAAAACCTCCAGGCTATAATGGAGAAATGGCTCAATTCTCCAATATGCTGTGGACTATAAAACACTCTGTTCACTATTTACTGAAGCAAACAAATACTGATAGAAAAACATGTTGAAAATACAAAAGCTGTAATAACTTTAAACCAGCTGCATGCGAGTATGTTGGCTTAATTAATGCTATATAGAGTTGTGATTCCATTGTGGCAGGACCATCCATCATTCACCTACTATCTCTCTGGTAAGCCAGCGCAGCTGCCAATACAGAACAGACATAGGCAAGGAGATGAGATGGAGGAACTACTGACTTGGCTTGGCTTCTCAACTACAAACTGGGAAGGACCCCTTGGGGTTATTTTTTGGTTTCACTTTGAAAAGAGCAGAACTGAAACTGATACTTTTACATTTTCCTTTTCTTGTAAATATGAGGGCTCGCATCTTTAAGCAAATAGGAGAAAGACAAATGCTGGTGTGTCATTAATGCTGTGCAGGGGCCCTGAGCAAGGTGTGTCATGCTCATCTGTAGGTACTTTTAATATATATTATTTATAATGTAATGTAACATAACATTATAGCATAATGTTTCATTCTGATGGAACAAAGGAGTTAATGATTTTATGTGGTTTGCAGCTTAGGAACGGGATTTCAATGATAGTCCTCCAGTTACATCATAGTGGCATACTCTTATAAACAAAAGGAGAAGCATATTTCTGTTCTGATAAGCTACAAAGTGGATGGCAGCGTACAAAGCTTGTTCCACTGGAAGAAAACTGGAGCTCAACAACTCCAGTTTGTGATCTCTGTGTTAGCAACCATCTGTTGCTTTCACAGCTTACAACAGCAATCGTAAGAGGAGGTTCTCACTCCCAACCATCTGTTTTTAGAGGGGAAGCCAAAAATAGACATCAGGCAGAGTTGCTAGAGGAATCCAACCTTCACGCAGTGAAGGGTAATCCCTGCTGCTGCTCAGAGGGTCTTGGTGAGGCTCACACGTGCAACTAGCTGGTTTCTGCAGAGCAAAACCCCAGCTGTAAGTCCAAGTTTTAACGCATTTCATAGCAGGGCATGGTAACCACAATCAAAAGTCCTCTCTCAATACGAATTGCCATGCTTTCATTTTTGAAGTGCATTTCAAAGCTATCCTTCATGACTGCATTTTTCATAGTTTTTTTTCCTCCCTGAAAAAGGATTTCCATTTCTGAAGG